GTAGTTAAGAGCAAAAATTATTTATGGGTTTAATTTATATATTTATAAATTACATTTATAATAATTATTTTGTTATTATAATTCTTTTAAAAATTATAATTTTTGTTTAAATTAATTTTCACTGTCAAAGAATATTCTTTTAAAGCATTGCATATAGTAATTACAAAAATAACAAATATATGATTATTATTATCTAATACTTATGTTAAGTACAGAACACATCTCTCTCTCTCTCTCTCTCTCTCTCTCTCTCTCTCAGCCCAAAGCAATTTACATAATTTTCATAACTGTATCAAATGTTTTCACATCTCTCGCCCTCACTGTCTAAGAGTGAGATCTAAAGTCAACACAATTTAAGCATTTTTAGATATGAATTGAGTACAAAATGAGGTGATATTGGCGGAGGCCTGGAGTTAGAAAATGGACTTAATATATACACATCTATCTAAACATTGATCTAACCTTCAAATTAGAATTAAATCCTCTCTCAACAGGATTTGAATTTTTAAAAAAGTATATTATAATAACCAGAATAAGAAAAATCTCTCTTTTTTGTATTAATATGAATTGAAACATCTTTCTTTCAATGAGAAATAAAGCAAAATCGGGTTTTTTCTCAATTTGTGGAACTCATCATAAAATAGCATCAAAAACTAAAATGCTTGATTATATCGTATTTTGCGAAAACACCCAAAAACTGGTAGTTTTAAAAATATTATTTCACTGCAATTCTTATGAAACTAATTAATATATTTCCAGGTGTTATACCTTTCGTACATTTCTTTTGAAAAACTACAATTCTGTGCCAAAATAGTAATAAATAAACCATTAATTCTTGAATACAGTATATATTTTGCACAATTTTGGCACTGAATTGTGCGGTAATTCAATACAGTTAGGGCTTAAGGTGTACTCCAGTATACTATTATTAAAAGACATAGTATCATGAATATAATTATCACTTAAAACATCTAGACCTGTTTTCCTGTTATAAGATGACGGGTTGCATATACTCGCAGATACGCTATAAATGATGTGGTTATATAAGGGATGAATTTATTTATTAAATAATGATTTTTTTGTGTAAAATTTGTATGAATATCACAGAAGCGTTTTCATACGGAAAATACTTCGATCTCAAAGAGATAAAAGACTTTTTTTGGTGAAAAATTATTTATTATGAAAAAAATTAGTTTAAACGTCGATAAAGTAATAAGTAATAAATCATTTTTCTTTTTCTTCTTTTTTATTAAGACATTGAACTGAATCTTCAAAAATAATGCACTTATAATATGAACGAAATATTCCCTCTCTCACTGTCTTTAGCTAATAAATAGCAAAACACTTATGACTTATTCGTGTGTATTTCCCGAACCCTTTGCACATAATATTATCATTAATTTTATAATCAAAATATAGTAATTTTTATTAATGGACTGAAAATTAATGTTTTGGTTTGCGGTTTGCCATCAATTTATAACACATACAATACATTCAGTAATATATACCGCATTTTGTGATGTATATAAATGAGGGGCAATTAAATTTGAAAAAAGTAAATACTTGTTAACAATTTAAACGCTATGTATTTGTATTTATACAAAACCATTATTCGGTGATAAGGATATTGTTATGAAACGCTATGCTATTGAATGGTTGGACTAAATACTACACGGCTTATGGACTTTGGATTCAAGAATAATTCTCATCACTCGTTGTTATCATTAATAACAATAATGTGGTTATATATAAGAAATGCTATTCACTTCAATCATTTATATTGAGTATTAAGTTGTTTACGTATAATTGGAAACACACTTTATTTGCCATATATTGTAATCAATAAATTATAATATTATAAGGTTTGGATTCCAAGACAACTAAATTTTTTTTGTACATTTATAATAGAAATTTTATGCGGCTATTTCTTATAGCAATTATATTTAATAATAGAAATATGTTTTAAATTAATGTAAAATAATTGTTTTCACAACTAAACATGGAGCAATTGTATCTCTATTCGCTCTGACATTAATATGTTAAATTAAATATAAAAATTAAAGCCCTATTTAATTTTAAACAAAAATAATCTCATAAGTATAGTAGGAAATGAAAATCTAAAACATAACAATATTTAATTTAGTTTCTAATTAAAACACTTTAAGGAAAATGTATATAAATCAGTGCATTAGGGGATTAGGCTTCCGATCAGATATAAGAGAGTAATAAAGATTTTGAAAATTCATAAGACTTTTGATCAGTTAGAATAGGAATACAGATATTGTTAGTCATTACTTCCATATATAAATCAGTGCATTAGGGGATTAGGCTTCCGATCAGATATAAGAGAGTAATAAAGATTTTGAAAATTCATAAGACTTTTGATCAGTTAGAATAGGAATACAGATATTGTTAGTCATTACTTCCGCCGACAATATATATTGTTATTCAACTATTTTTCTCTATAATATGTATTTCGCTTATAATTCGTTGATTTTACACAAATGAAAGAGTACTTCAGTATATTATTCACTTTGAGATTAAATTCTTTTCATAGACTAGGGTTTCAATTATTCCCATTCTTATCAAACACTGTATTCTTATAACAAATAATTTTATAACAATATCCATTAATTTTATTTGTAGAAAAATGCATCATATTGCAAATACATGTATCATGATTATTTTAATATATTCAAAATAAATATTTTATGAACAAATATTCGATATGTACACAAAAATAACTATTAAATACTGTTTAAAGTAAAAACTTGTTGTCCAGCAATGTATTGATAGATGTGTTTAAATGACTGTAATTATGTCGTTATTACTATACATTACAATTATTAGATTGCAATTACTATAAATATTAGTGAGTTGGCGAACAATAAGATGATAATAAGACAATCAAATTACAAATAACTCAATTTAGTCCAACATTTTGTATGTTCATTATATAACTCAATATTCTCTTTGATATAATAATTATATTATAGGTTTTGGGTCTGAATTACAGACAAATGAATACAGAAATAGAGTGAATGACAATTGAATGGCCAGTTATCAGTGAAATATATTCTTCATAAGTAATTGTGTATATATTTAATGGGAATTTGTCTCAAATGGGAATTATTGATACCGTTTTTGCGAAGTGAATTCAGCAATTTAAAACTCTAATTAACGGTATATAATATATTGAATTTTATCTTAAAATGCAATATATTTATGACAAATAAAAGTCAATATTAACAACGAATAACAGTTGGTAAGAGGAATAGAGATAACAATTGATATGAGAGTTATATTGGTTGAGACCCTCTTTTCATATAAATACTGTTTAAAGTAAAAACTTGTTGTCCAGCAATGTATTGATAGATGTGTTTAAATGACTGTAATTATGTCGTTATTACTATACATTACAATTATTAGATTGCAATTACTATAAATATTAGTGGTTTGTGAACAATAAGATGATAATAAGACAATCAAATTACAAATAACTCAATTTAGTCCTACATTTTGTGTGTTCATTATATAACTCAATATTCTCTTTGATATAATAATTATATTATAGGTTTTGGGTCTGAATTACAGACAAATGAATACAGAAATAGAGTGAATGACAATTGAATGGCCAGTTATGAGTGGAATATATTCTTCATAAGTAATTGTGTGTATATTTAATGGGAATTTGTCTCAAATGGGAATTATTGATACCGTTTTTGCGAATTGAATTCAGCAATTTAAAACTCTAATTAACGGTATATAATATATTGGTAAAATAGAATTTTACGTTATATAAATACTGTTTATTTTCAGTTATAATTGTTGCTTATTGTCAACCATTCTCCTTATCTCTATTGTTAACTATACTCTCAATATAACCAACTCTGGGAGAAAAGTATAGACTATTTCTTTATTTAGTTATTAAATATTGAGGTATTATTCCTTGTATTGCATTTGTATAGTATATTTGTGATTGCGCTGTGTTTTAGCAAATACTTGATATATATATTATATTATTATCGTATCTTTATAACGAAAAAGCACTTCATTTAACTCAGACATAGGGTGTGGTTAATAAGCGAAGACCACATTTAATTGTATTCAAAAAATTAAATACTTTTTCAGTTATTATTTATAAATTCAATAAAAAAGTTGTCGTAAAGAGAAAAAGTTTGTGTCAAACATATCTGGAAGTAATTCTAATTCAATCACCAATTATTTATATAATGTAAAAGTTTTTAAGTCTATAATACGAACGAAAAGTTATTATTAGAGATGGAAATGAATTTAAATTGTTTTCACAGTACCAGAATATTTGCCAATTTATTCACACCATTCATATTCACATTAATACTATTATCATCTATAAGTAAAGCTCAGGATCTATCGCCGTCCCGCACAGGACATGGTATGTATGACCGGACACTTTGTTTGCGAATTAATTTTAAACACCAATTAATCCAGTATTGAATCAAATAAGAGCTCAAAATGAGGTTAACGTTAGTGAAGCGTCGATACCAGTGTATTATTACAGATACGAGCCTTCATTTCTTTGCGATAACTTACATAATAACTAAGTTTATAGTTAATAACCAAATGTTTGCTTTTCTAATAATATATCCCAGGGTTACACACCGTTGAGCTTACATTTAATTGTAATTAAAGTGAAATGGATTGAGATTTAATTGTGTTTTAGTAATTATTGTGTAAAATTTTAATGTAATATATGAAATACATTGTAACAAACAATTTCATTTGAATACAGCGCCCATATTTATCCCGGGAAATGCCCGACCCGTGGAACCGGTGGGCCCACAGATAGTGGGCGATATGATACAGTTCCGGACGGAACTGATGTATCCGTACAATTTGAGTGACTTCACCGAAATTACTTCAGCCAAACCAATACACGATCAGCCGCTGCCCTTTCGGCTCCCATTCTTTGGCTTCTGGTATCACTACATATGGGTAAATGACTTCTCATTTCAATGTCTTTTTGCATAAATTCTTCAATAATTACTTCAGTTTATTGTCACGAATAACGAAAAAATATACGCGAGAATACTGTATATACTGTACCAGAAAAATAAAAATGTTTTTTAATAACAATTATATGATAACATAATAATAGACACATTTAAGCGCTCATCAGATCAATCATCTTTCATGACTTAAAGCAATAGTTATATAATATTAGAAATGCTTTTCGAGCGTTCACTTTATGTTTCTTCTACTCGTTTACTAAAACTAAACGTTAAGCCTATTATTATAATGACCTAACATTTAATGCAATCATTGTTTTTGATACTGAAGTTCATTATCGTATACATAGAGGCAAACACACAGTATAGCAGAAACCTAGACAAACTTAAACATTTAATTAATTCAGTGGATTAAACATATCATTGACTCTATTTGTAACACAATATCAGACGATTTAAACATATATTTGATAAACAGATACAAAGAGATGGTTATCTAGCGTTCAATCGGGGAATGTTGTCGTATAAGTTTCCGGTGAAGTTTCCGTTTGTGCCGCGCGATAACCTGTTAGAGGAGGACCCGTCGATCATCGCGCCCTGGTTTGCGATGCAAGACATACCGACGGAAGTGCCGCACGCGGGCGTCTACTTGAAGATTGTCAACTTAGAGCAGGAGTCAAACGCCACGCTTAGGGACAGAATCTACTATGACTTCAGGGAAGGCATGATTGGCGCCTCCGATTTCAGGCCCAAATTTGCCCTCATTATCACGTGGAGAAATATGTCCATGGTCAATCGTAGGCCTGAAATGCCACTTAAGGTGTGTATTGAAACTTTTTTTCTGTGGTGTATATTTGGTTCAATGGGTTAGTGAGATGTTTAATGAATGCTGTTTTGTTTGTCATCGTTAGACCAACACATACCAGTGCGTGTTGGCTACGGATGAGATCCGGACGTACGCTATGTTCAATTACGAGCAAATTGAATGGATTACACATCAAGACAACTATGAAGGCCTCAAAGGATCGGCCGCTTATGTAAGCAAAACAGAGTTAAATCCCTATATAGTGTAGCGATGCGTAAAATTAATTAAAATTACTATTGAAACAAAAGGTTGGTTTCAACGCCGGCAACACGACCCGCACCTATGAGTTTAGGCCGTATTCGCAAAACCCGCGCATATCATATCTGACCACTCGTGGGTGGGGTAACGGTCTT